CTATAATCTCAGATACCCTACGCATGCGCAGTAGCTGACACTCGCTTCGATTACTGCGCCTTCAGTCAGGCGTGAAGTTTTTGGGACGTCTTTTCTTATTTCGCGGATTCTGCTGGTATACAAATAAAGTCAGGAACGAAATTAAAACGATTTTGGGAAAATTCTGTTTTTTCTGATTCTTTTCAAAAGTACTTGGATGTCAAAACTTTCTAAGCGGCATTTTGTTAGTTACCTAAATATACACCTTTGCCCCCATTTAAAAGATATTTACCGATTCTGAGATCTTAATGGCGAGGGTTGAATTTGATTATAGGCTGTATGAGCGGAATGAACAACACAACGTTTATCAGCTTTCTAATGTCAAAGGCGCGGTTATTACGTCAATAAGCTAAATAATGTAAGAAAAACGATAAAATGTCAACTTGTTGACTAAGAGAGCTACAAGTGAGCATGAAGTGAACGACGGCTAGTTCCAAGTAGACGTCTTGTTGGAAAACCTACATAATGTTGAAAAAAATAATCTAGCATCAGAGCTGCTATTTGTAGAAATGGCTGAAATGATAAATCTTCGAAATGTAAAATACTACAAGCCTACACCGCGAACGAGTGATTTTAAAAGCATGTTCCCGTTCAAAGAGAAAAATGTGAAGCCCAGAACTTTCTAGGCGAGAGTGTAGAAAGGCGAGGTGGTGCATTATCAGCTTGTGAGAGATGTGGTAAAAAAAGAACTCTACAGGCTAATTGTTGGATTCAGTTTTCTAAAAGTTACCATGATATAATGAAAGCTAAAGTACTATGGGCAAGCCGGTTTAGATTTCCGACTGCTGTTGGAACTCTCTACTGTTCACATGAGAAAATAGAGAAGCCTGACTTGCATGGGGAAGAATACGAACAAACATAAGCCGCAACGAAGAAGCAACTTACAACAACGTACATGCTACGTGCAATTCAATGTACGTATTCACCAGCGTGGATGTGAGCTGGCCGGATTCGATACATGACAGTCGAATCTGAAAAAATTCCGACGTGAGAGAAGACATGCGACGCACAGAAACCGCTGTTCTCATTGCTGATCAGGGATACAGAATTGAACCTTGTTTTATGACTCCTTATCGAGAACCTGTCAACACAGACGTGAAGAAGGCATACCTACAATAAACTATTGTCAAAGGAAATGGTAGTAATCGAGCATTGGTTTGGACAACTAAAACGGCGCTTTCCGATACTAAAATATTGTTGTCGCGTGAAATTGACTAATGTTCCATATATAATTGTAGCTTTGATCATTCTACACAACGTTGCTATGGCCTTGTAGGATCCAGATTTTTGAGGGTAGTGATAAAGATGAAGAGAATGACAACTTACGTGTGCGCGGTCAGGAAGTGCGTGAAGTTTTAGCGAATATAATTCAAACTTATAACGCACCTTGATAAGTGATTTTTTTTATATATCGAAGCAGCCGCGCAGGCAGAAGCCTAAATGCCGGAACACCGCGGCTGCTATGATGATCCCAAAGAGATTTTATCAATACGATTTTTGAACTGCCTAAGGTTAATAGAACTGGGAAAAGCTTCCTCTTGTAGATTGTTCCACAATCTCGACACCCTTGGGACAAAGGAGCGGTCGTATCGGCCGGTTCTGGATGTACGAAGTTCGACACGGTTAGGAGGGGACGCCAACGTCAGGCGGGTCTGTCTGGCAGGCACATCGCTCGACGACATCATGGAAGAGAGCTCTGAGGTGCAAAGCCCGTTGGTGTAACGGTAGAAAAGAGCCAGGTCGCCGACAGCCCGCCGGTGCGAAAGAGTCCCGAGACTGTCTATCAGAGAAGAGTCATCGATCAGTCGGACCGCCCTCCTCTGGACAGCATCGAGCATGGGGCGGCAGCACCCCAAACGTGTGAGCAATACTCGAGGCTAGGCCTTATCTGGGCCTTGTACAGAGTGAGAAGGTCATTCGGAGAAAAGTACTTCTTAGCCCTAAACAAATAGCCTAGCTTTTTCCCAGCAGCCGCAGCTATTGACGAGATGTGTTTGTGCCAGATCAGGTCCTCGGTGATCTGGACTCCGACCAGCCGAAATGGCTCTTTGGCAGAACTCGACCATCCATCGAAACCGGATGAGCACTAGGACGCTTTTTGTTCGTCAAAGTACAGTACTGCGTTTTGGAAGCATTGAACTGTACAAAATTGTTGCGTCCCCAAGCAGTGATAGCCTCCAAGTCTCTTGTCAGAGAGGAAGTCATCGCTAGTCTTCTTTTTTCCAACTCAGCGGCAGAGATCGGCTTGTCACTCTGAATTCCTGCATGTAGAGTGCTGACATCAGCGAAGCTGTGGATTGGGTTGATCGTGCAGGAAAGGGGGTCGTTGATATGTAAGAGAAACAGTGTCGGAGCCAAGACCGATCCCTGGGGAACACCCGCGTTGACGTTGTGGGATGAGGAGGAGAACCGGTCAATTACGACGGATATCTTGCGGCCAGAGATAAAGTCAGCCACCCATCTGCAAAGCTTTTCTGGGAGGCCATATGGTGGAAGATTGCTTAACAGGGCAGCGTGCCACAGCTGATCGAACGCTTTCGTGATGTCAAGAGCAACGATATGAGCCTCACCATAAAACTGAATGAGTTTACTCCACAATTGAGTGACGTAAGCTAGGAGGTCCCCTGTGGATCGTTGGTGCCGGAAACCATACTGCCTGTCGCTAATCAAGCCGTGACGTTCGAGGTAGTCCAGAAGCTCGCGATTTATGCGCCTCTCCATCACCTTACTTAAAACAGAAAGCAGAGCTATAGGCCTGTAGTTGTAAGGATCGGTCTTAGATCCCTTTTTTGGGATGGGTTGCACATGAGCAAATTTCCAGTTTTTTGGGAAGGTGCCGGATTCATAAGATATCTGGAAGAGACGCGAAAGAACTGGAGCAAGCTCCGGTGCACATCTCTTCAGTACAATGGCAGGAATCAAGTCCGGACCAGAAACTTTGTTGATGTCGAGCGACAAGAGCACTCGTCTCACGGTCTTACGCCTGAATGTTACCTCCCGCATAGTGTAGGGAACCCTTTGAATCGACGGCACTCGGGCGTTGGGGGGGACGTCCATGGTGGAGTTGGCAGCAAAGATCTTGGCTAGCACTTCCGCCTTGGCCGTCGAGTTGAATACAATAGTTCCATCCAGACACGTAAGTGGTGGAAGGCTACTGTGTGAGAAGTTCTTTTCAATCTGCTTGGCCAGCGTCCAGAAAGACCGACTGCCATTGCGCTGCCACATTACCCTGTGCCTAACTTTTATATCGCGCTGGTTTTTGGCATTGCGAACCGCTGCTTTATATTTGTTTCTGGACGTCGGCTTGTCTGTTCTCTACAGTGAGGTTTTGTAAGAAGGTTCTGTGTGCCTTGATCTTCTGCTGACGAGCAGCGTCACACGATTTGTTAAACCAGCCGTTGGACCCTGGTCTAGGCACTTTCACTGTGTGAGGGATGAATTCCTCCATTCCGACGTGGATAATTTCGGTTATCGAAGCACAGACAGCCGACGCATCCGCGTCAGTGAAACAGACATCTTTCCAAGGAAAGCTAGAGAAGAAATCTCTGAGCCCCTCTCAGTGGGCATGTCCGTAATGCCAAGTTTTGCGGCCTGTACGAGTTTCTGCTACCACAGCGGGTTCTGACCGAAACCTAACCTACACAACACTGTGGTCTGAGTTACCCAGGGGGGACAGGACAGCAGTACTGTAAGGGACAGGATGCGTGGTCAGAAAGAGATCCAGCAGGCTACTGGCGTGTGACGAGACGCGGGGGAAAAAAGTAGGGCTCGTCCCAAGCTGAGTCAGCCCTTGGGTAAGAGCGAACGCTTCGACTGCACGACCTGCTGCGTCGGTCTTGTTTGAGCCCAACCAAAGCTCATTATGGGCATTGAAATCACCGAGAAGAACTACCTCTGAAACGGGATGATTGATGTTCAGGAAGTCGATCTGGACAGCGAGGTATTCGAGTAGGTCATCCCAGTTATGGTCCGAGCGAGAGCGATAAAGGCAGCAAATAAATTTGGGTGATGTTTTGGAGTTGAGGCAAAGCCACAGAATGTCCTTCCGGTCTGATTCCAAAGAAACATCTCTGCAGCAGGAAAGACTGCTGCGGACGAAAGCCACAACTCCCCCGTTCTTTCTTAGATTGGAGTGTACCTCGTAGTTTGGGGAGTAAGTTTAACTCGTATGTGTTTGTAATAAATTTTTATTGCTCTCAAACTTGAAGAGTAATATAGTTTCTGTGATACACTACCAAAATCAACCATATGCTCCCAGAAAAAAAAACAGTAAAAGCGTCTTTTATGACTGCTATATATATTTCCCGCCCCTGCTCAGAACCCAGCCATCATAGATTTTGATTTTAGAAATGAGCATATACTCGTTTCCATGAAGCATTTGCTTGGTAATCATTATTCATATTAAATGAAGCAAATGCTTTTTCTTCTACCTTTTGCTCTGAGCGTTTGATTTTCCTTCTACCTTATGCTTATACTTTTCAAGATACGTAATACCCCTACCGGAAAAGGTTCGAAAAGTGGTGATCTTCTATGCTGAGCAAAACAGCTTACTAAGCAGTTTTCAGCAGCTGGCACCGCCTGAATGTACCCAATGGACAACTAGCACTCAGCATAACCTGTGTCACATACGTGACTTTTGTCAATTGGGATTCAAAGCCTTCAAAGCGGTCCATTCAGAAGGCAGGTTTGCAGGAAAGTTATGATTTTGAGTTGCAGGAACGTCATAATTTTGAATGATCTGCTTCTGGCCGGCTTCACGCAGCACTAACTTGTAGCAGTTGGGTGTAGCTGAACGTAACCACTACGTCAACTTTGCAGATCATAGACAAAAAACCCGAATGTTACACTGCAAATATGATTGTAAACCGCGTTGGAAATCCAGTTGCTACGGATACTACCAGATAAGCCGCTCCTTATGGTGATTTAACAGTTTGAGCTTGTTAGAAATGAAAGGTACACATCGAACCTAAGATATTTATTATTACACATCAATATTAGCATTACATTAATCATTTATTAATAATTATAAATACATTGGATCACTGCAAGTACAAAGAAGAGCATAACGGGAGGTGTAACGGCAAGCCTTGCCCCCCCAGCCAGGGGGCGAGCCTGGGTGTAATATTTCTTTACAAGAAACAAACAAAATTTTCTAATCACATGTGACGTTCATTTGGAGATCTTCTCAGTTCGAGGATATCAGCATGTCTTTCCTGTAAAGAAAACATGTTGTTAAACATTCATCATATAATATCGGGGACTGTAGTCATCCTCCAAAGAGGGAAATTGTTGAGTAGAATGTTTCAGTCTGATTGGCAGATCATTTTTAATCCTGCTGCTAGTCCATCGAGTACATACGGACTCACTGCCATGTTTTCTCGCATAAGTAATAGTAGCTTTCTCAAATTAGAGAGGTGCCTCAAGAAGATACAGGGTGTCCCAGAAATATCACGTCAGAGTGATTGATTAGATTGGCTAAACATTAATCAGATAATCAGAGTTATTGCCACTTTTAAGTTTTTTCAAAAAATTATTACTTTTTGCTCCTTTTTTGCTAAAATGACATGTTCAGGTCGTTTCATTCCTCAGTGATTTGGATACAAAAGTCGGCTGCACTTATTTTTTATTTGTAGTATTTCGATTTCAATGACAAAACTTGGAATTATTCAATTTTTAGTAGAAAGAACTTAAAAATGTTATACTATTTTTAGAAGAGCATTAAATAGGCTAGTTTTGAGATCATTTGCCGATTCAGTCTTTTATATTTTTTTCACAGTAATTTGTCAAACTTTAGTAAAGGTTTTCACATTGAAACAAAATGTAATAATTATTTTTATCAACTATTAATGGTTACTCAGGCAAAAAAATCATAAGTCAGTTCTTTATAGCCATAACAGGTAAAAAAGGAGCAAACAGTAGGGATTTTTTGAAAAAACTTAAAATTGGCAGTATCGCGAAAAATAGAAAACCTTTACTTAGTAGTTAGTAGTCATGTTGATTTTATCTGATTGATCTGAAGCCAAACTACCTCCCGTGTCACTCTGGCGTGTTATTTCTGGAGTATATAAAAGAGCTGGACGAGTCCCTACTGCATTCTACGTGACATTCTCTGATGAGATGCTACAAAAGGACAGTGTGGCAATACACTTGTACCAGATGCACAAGAAATTTCTGAAAAACACAGAGGGAGACAAATCAGTGGACCCGATTTTGAACAAAGTAAATCATCCAATCATCCAGCCAAGCCAGCAATGTAAAATCTAGTCTCAGCTAGAATGAAGCGTCTGCGGCGCTTCTTGTCTGTCACAGGTTACCATAAGTGGGGCGATTGCACTGCAGGCCACGCATTTGCCCGCCTAACGCAGACGATAGAGATTTTGGTACTTGCCCCAACAGTCGATTGCAAAATCGACAATGAGTTCGCCGATAAAACCATGCCTATAACTTTCCTCGGGTATCAATTATTGAGTGTACAAAGTTTTACGGCTCTCCGTATTGTGCTTCATTCACATTTATAGAGGTAATAATGAGTAGTGTCCGACCGCACTTTCGGTTCGGTTTCGATTTCGGTCAGTCCAAAATCAGAGTTTCGGTTCGGTTTCAGTAGAAAATCCGCCGAAGCTGCAACCGAAGCCGAAACACTACGTTCGTATGTTTTCGGGCACCTTCGGACAAATTTATTCAGACTGAAGATCAAATTTGTTGGGAAAAAAAGTTGAAAAACAATTATTCATGTCATATAATATCAGACTGTTCAATTATATTTATTGGATTACCTTCCAATGGCCTGTTGCACCAACATTGAATTTGAGTTTTGTAAGACTATAGAAATCTAGTTACTTCTTACGTAATTAAGGTTCATTTGGTAACCCCAGTTCAGGCTCAATTTCAGGCAGAATATTCAAAACACGCTTGGCTCTAAAGGAACTTCTAGAATAAGAGATACATGCAATTTCGAAAACCTCGCGATCAAACTTTGTGATATTTGTTCCAGCATTTGAGGTAGAATTTTTTATGCTTCTTACAAGAATTCAGTAGGAGTAGAGTTTGTCCAATCACTAAAATCATATTGTCTTCTAAAACGACCCTCAATCCAGAAATATTGTCTTGATTCATCATGACCCCTACTCCGCATATACAGGGTGACCCAACAAAAATTGAACGTAGTTTTGTAAGCAAACTGGAAAATATATCAAAAATATGTTTCGTGGTAGCCTTGATAAGTTGCTAGTGTATATTTACAAATTATTTTGATATATACGGGGTGTTCCATAACTTCGTGACATAGCAAACATGTTTTTTTAAATATAGATCTTATTGTATATTTGGATAGAGCTTCGCTTCTAAAAACAAGAAGTTTGGTATGATTGTCAATTGTTTAGATATTTAGTGAAACATCTGAAAAAATACCCAACTTTGACGACTCGCAGCTTCACCATTTTTGGAGATATTCAGATAAATTTTAGTACACAAAATTTTATCATCATCGATTTTGAGCTGATCTGAAAGATATGCTGAAATATCTTTCTATTTATACCGGATACCTCAAAACGCAAAATGACCTTTTCTCGTAAATTTGAAATGGAACATCCTGTATATTTCTATATCTTCAAATAGCTTTTTAGAGAACTTTTTACTTGATAAAACGTATTTCCATACGTTTTTGAGTTATTACTATTAATTTCAAGAAATACCAAATACATATTTTATTTAAACATGAGACAATAAAGCAATCAATCATTTGGAAAAAAGTTGTAGAAGCTGTATATCAAAAAAAGGTTCATAAAAAACTATTTAACGATGTAGAAATTATACAGGGTGTATCGTTTGAAATTTTTGAGAAAGGGTACATTTTGCGTTTTGAGAGTATAAATAGAAAAAATTTCAGCACTTTTTCCAAATGATCTCAAAATCGATGATAATCATATTTCAGACGTTTGACCAAATATCTAAACAATGGACAATAGAAACCATACAGGGTTTGTTCTGAAAGTAATAGGACTGAGTCGATTTAAAAAAAATTATTGAGTCAATCGTTACAATTCTTGAAAAACTTGCAAGATAGGCTCCTTCTGCGTCGATGCAGCGCTGCCAGCGCAATTTCCAAGCATTGAAGGCGTCACCGAAGGCATTATCCGGAATAGCCTTGAGAGCCGCGGTACATGCTGCTCGGATCCCCTCTGTCGTATCAAAATGCTTGCCTTTCATCGGCCTTTTCAGGCGAGGAAACAAAAAAAAGTCCGGGGGGGCACATCTGGGCTGTAGGGCAGCTGCGGAAGCGTTAGGATGCCGGCCTTGGTTAGGTAGCTGTTCACAAGAAAGGCGGTGTGAGCCGGGGCGTTGTCGTGGTGCAACTTCCAGTCGGCTGCGATGTCTTGTCGGACCCGACTGACCCTTCGTTTGAGTCTCCTGACCACTTCCACGTAAAACTTGCTGTTGACGGTTTGTCCAGGAGGAACAAATTCATGGTGGGCAATGCCTTTGACGCACACGAGTCACATTATCGGTGTTTGTCGAAGTCGAAGGTCTTTCAGCACGGTCTTCGTCAGCGACCTCTTTCCGGCCCTCCAAAAAGGCCTGGTGCCACCGAAACACACCACTTCTTGCTAAAGCAACACCTGGGTAAGCCTGCTTGATCATATCAAGCGTCTCTGTCGCAGATTTACCGAGTTTCACACGGAATTGAATCGCGTACCTCTGCTCTAACGAACGCTGCATTTTCGGCTTGCACCAGTCACAGAAACACGTCGCGCGAAAATGCCTGTCCTGACTCTCAGTGCTCGGAGACAACTGACCAGCCGCTCATTCGTTAGCTAGGAACGCCCTCTACCGAATTAGGTCGGAGCGCGCACGCTCCGAAGTACAGTCATGGCGGAAGAAAATGAGTCCTATTACTTTCCGGACAAACCCTGTATGTTGTGTGATATCAAACTTAAAACTAAATTTCTTGAAAAATGCTATAGCTACTGAATAATCTCTTGGTAATATATAAATAGTTTTTGTTTTTGGTCTTTGATTAATTCTTCTAGAAAACCGTTATTCAATAGTTCAAGGATACACAAATCATAGTTTAAAATATTATGTCTAATAAAACCCATTTTTGAAGACTAAACATGTATTAGACGATATTTAACCTCCAAAAGTTGAAAGTTAATCACAGTTCACAAAATTTTAAACGATGTTTAAGTACTTGTGCAATAGAAATCGGTAAATTAAACTAGGTTTCCGTCTAAACTAAGGTTAAATAGTTTTGGTGGAACAGGCCATAAGTTGTTATTTTTGTTTTATTGTGTTTTTTCTTACAAATTAGACATTATTCATTTTGTAAGAGATAAACATAGTACTGTTTTAGTTTTCTTTGCCTAAGTCTTAATAATATTTCATAAATACTGATTATTACATATTACATAGAGTTTGTTTTATTTCTCTAATAAACCGCTATTATTATTACTAATATTAATTGATGAAGACAGAGTTTGTTTTTCTTGGTGATACACTCTCTTACCTTCCAATCTCTCATATTATATTCCTAGAATATTTTTGTTTCTACCGAAACCAGAATGGGACCAAAATGTCGGTTTTGCTTTCGGTTTCGGCTGAAATATTAGTTTCGGTCGGACACTAATAATAAGTTGTAAAAAATTTTTATCCTACGTTCCCTATCTTTCTCTTCATTTTTCACCATTTTCCTAAGATGTAAGTATTTTGAATGTATACAGAAGCAATATTCTTGCTTTTCATTGTTTATACATATACCGGCTGTCCTATGCTCCCTGTGCATATATTGATCATACCTTTTTATTTCCTTATAATTTTCGTTCCAACAACTAATTCATTTCTATCACTGAATTTAGGAGTAAAAACTTCATTTAAATGTACAAAATTTCAATATAGCGTCCGTATGAAAAAACAAAGTTGGTAATGCGAGTTGAAAGGAGATACCCCGAATTGAAAATTTGACTACCATCTTGTAGAGGACAAAAAGTAGCAACAACGACATGCATTTTATTTTGAAATCCCATGTTAAATAAAGTCAGGAAAAAATAAAAAATGATTTTGATATGGTATCCGAGCTCCTTCCCACTTCAGTTGGCCCACTTCAAGATTTGTATCAAAATATGCCATTATAAACTAAACATGACGAAACTATTTACTTCTAAAACAATTTATTTTCTCAAAAACATTTTAGATACACTCTAGTCGTAAAAAATATATATTTGAAATCACATAGACCTATAACTAATAGAACATCTGAACAAATAAACAATGTGCGAATAAATGCGCGAAGTTAACAAAGCAACAATTGAAAGATTACCATTGAGTAACATCACCTTTATTTTTTATTACGGCTGGAATTCTTTGGGGCCTAGTGTTAACCAAGTTTTGGCAAAAATTTGGTGTAAAACAATCTCATATTTCTTGAAGCTTTTGTCTCAGTTCGGTGATTGTGCGAGCAGGATGTTGTCGTAGAACCTTTTTCATCTCGTGCCACAAAGTTTCAATCGGTGACAGATCGGGACTGCTAGAAACCCATTTCAAAAGTAGTACATTATTTTTTTTCATCCATTTTATAGCCTTTTTTGAGGTATGGCACCATCTTGATGAAACACAAAATCTTGGCCGGATGTCAAACATTCTGGTAAAAGCGATTCTTCTATAATTGCCAAATATTTGTTTGTATCCACATTTCTATCAATAAAATAAAGTGTTCCTACTCCTTCTGATGACATACTGCCCCAGACCACAATGGATGCTGGAAATTTCACTTTTCTCTTAAGACAGTCAACCTGGAATGCTTCATTTTTTTGGCGAATAACTCTACTACGACTGCCACCAATCCAAACTTCGAATCGGGCCTCATCACTCCATTGTATTGCACACCATTGTTGAGCTGTCCATAGTCTATGTTCTTTAGCCCATCTAAGCCGATTTTTCTTTTGAAGTGGAGTTAATAGTGGCTTTTCTTTGGCCTATAAACAAGTTGTGCAACTTTAGGGTTTTTACTTCACTTTTTTTTATAAGAAAACTTACCTTGCAAGTGCTAAATACCAGTTTGTGGGCCTCTCTATGAGTTTTGGACCTCGAAATTCTCTTTCCAACAGCGACACTCCACAGAGCACTTAATTGTAAATAATTGGCACGCCTGTTTTTCACGATTATTCTTCTTAATGGTCTTCGGTCGGCATTTGTGACATTACTTTTTTTCACATATCGTTGCTTAATATTAACTGAACCAGTTACGTTATATCTTCTAACAACATTTCTCACACTGTACCGCGATAAGTCTAAAAAAGTTGCAATTTCTGAGTTTGATTTCACAGAATTAAAAAATTTAATTATCAGTAACCGAATTTTCTCACTGATAACCTTTCCTCTACCCATTTTGAAAACCTTAACTACCCAAAACTTTTTTGAGCTGTGATTAATAAAAACAATTGTCATGGCTTTTCTTTTTCACAGCCACCTAGGCGTTATAGACTTATTTTGCATTGAAATGAAAATAGGTTGATATTCTGTAATTGCAAGATGTGTTATTTTTATGCTGCAAATTTGATAAGGGAGTGGTAAAGTTGGTGATTTCTAATATACAGGGTGTTCCATAATTATTGCGACAAAATGATAGGGGTTGTAGAGGGCATCAAAATGAACAATTTTTCCTTATAAACCCCTGTTCGGAAACATGCCGTTTGGGCTGCAGCAAAAAAAAAGATCAGTTTCTTGAAACAGCTTACCTACAGTAATTGTTCAAAGTGTCCTCCACCTTGCTCAATACACACCTGTGCACGATTGTTCAATGATCGGCGAACTCTGTGGCATACCCCCGGTATGTCCTGAACATGTGCGGACGCAGCCATCACTCTTCCCAGTAGCTCTGGTTGGTTGGGAACAGGAGTTTCGTACACTAAAGCTTTCAGATAGCTCCAGATAAA